GGTCTTTCCACACTCCATGCATTTATACGGCTTCTCTCCTGTGTGGATCTTTTTGTGGTATCTAAGGCCCCTGTGATCAGTAAACGTCTTTCCACACTCCATGCATTTATATGGTTTCTCTCCTGTGTGGATTCTTTTGTGTATTCTTAGGTCACTGTTATTAGCAAAAGTCTTTCCGCACTCCATGCATTTATACGGCTTCTCTCCAGTGTGGAGCATTTTGTGGCTTCTAAGGCCACTGCTCTGAGTAAACGTCTTTCCACACTCCATGCATTGGTATGATTTCTCTCCTGAGTGGATCTTTTTGTGTTTTCTAAGTCCACTGCGATCAGTAAACATTTTTCCACACTCTATGCATTTATATGGTTTGTCTCCTGAGTGGATGTTTTTGTGGCTTCTAAATCCACTGCAATCAGTAAACGTCTTTCCACATTCCATGCATTTATATGGCTTCTCTCCTGTGTGGATCATCTTATGGGAAGTAAGATTACCTTTTTGAGCAAAGATTTTTCCACACTCCATGCATTTATATGGCTTCTCCCCTGCGTGGATGAACTTATGGGAAGTAAGATGATCTTTACGAGCAAAGGTTTTTCCACACTCCATGCATTTATATGGCTTCTCCCCTGTGTGGATGAACTTATGGAAAATAAGATGATGTTTTTGAGCAAAGGTCTTTCCACACTCCATGCATTGATATGGCTTCTCCCCTGTGTGGATCATCTTATGAGAAATAAGATTATTTCTTCGAGTAAAGCTCTTTCCACAGTCCATGCATTTAAATGGTTTCTCTCCTGAATGGATCTTTTTGTGGACAGCAAGTCTACTACTCAGAGCAAAGGTCTTTCCACACTCTATGCATTTAAATGGTTTCTCTCCTGTGTGAAGCATTTTGTGGCTTCTAAGGCTACTGCTCCAAGCAAAGGCCGTTCCACACTCTATGCATTTATATGGTTTCTCCCCTGTGTGGATCCTTTTATGGATAGTAAGTTGCCTGCTTCTCCTAAAACATTTTCCACATTCCAAACATTTATAAGGCTTCTCTTTTGGGTCAATCAATTTTTGAGATGTAGGGAAGTTATTCCCAAGAGAAAGAATGAATGTCCCATTGTAATTTTGTCCGTTTTGTCTTCTTATAGCATCTTCTCTTTTGTTTGGGGTATAATAGTGTTCATTTAGTTGTATTTTGCCTTTGAATAGATTCACACTTTTTCCAGGATATTTTTTCCTTATTTTCTCTTGTTGGGCAAGAAAGTCTTGCATCAGAGCATCAGTGGAAGATGAGATTTCCTGATTCCAATTCTTTGACTGGTTTTTCTCATGGCTTTCGAATTCCATTTGAATTCCAAACTTCTCCGTTCCATCTTTAGCATTGATCACTTGGAACAGTTCACAGGAATCTTGATTTTCCAGCCCATTATTACCTTCAAAGCAAAAGGGAAATGAAAATGACAATGAGGTTAAAGAAAAAGATCAAAGTGTAGAAAATCAAGTGAATTTTCTTATGAATTTCTCCAAAATTCCATTAGGTAGTATGTTTGCAGGCCTATACTGATGTGATATAGACATGTTGATTTCTATATTCATGTCATGAAAGCTTTTAAAATATCTAGAAAACATCTCTTTCTATATGAAAATCTCACTCAGAGTCAGTTTTGAGTTAAAGAATAGAATAGCTTGATTTCCCCTTCTTTGTGGCAGCCCCTGAGATAATGGAAAACTGCGATCATGTCTCCCCAGTCCTTCTTTTCATTAAACTAGACATACCTTATTCCAGCAACCATTCTTTATAGGTTTTAGTCTCTAGTCCCCTAATCATCTTTGATGCTCTTCTCTGTACTCTTGCTAGCATCTCAACATCTTTTTTACAATCGTGGCAACCAAAACTGGATGCAGTATTCCAAGTGTGGCCTTACTAAGGTATTATCAAGAGGTATTAATGCTCCACGTGATCTTGATTCTATCCCTCTGTTTATGCAACGAAGAAATGTGTTGACTTTTGGGGTAGCTGCTATACATGGTTGGCTCCCATTTAAATGGTTGTCCATTAGGACTCCAAGATCTCTCTTACAGTTATTACTATTGAGCAAGGCACCACATATACTGTACCCGTGCATTATTTTTTTGCCTAAATGTAGAACCTTATTTTTTCACCATTGAATTTCATAATAATCAGGGGAAACATCCAGGGAGGAATTGGGAGAAAACTTACAATTTATTTTAGGCCTGTGTTCTTTTAAGAACTGAGGACTGCACGAGATCCAGGGCAAAAGTCTTTGAAAACAAAGAGGCCTTTCCTCTCCTTTGCCCTGGATCTGCTGCAGGCCTTGTTTAGAAGCGAGCAGAGGCCTAAAGCACTGTAGTGCGAGATCATGTGAGATCAATAGTGGTAGATTTCCCACTGCTGATCATGTGTATCTCTCACTACTCTTTTTCTGCAAATGCACTGAAGTACGCAAGGGAACCAATGGCTTGCCACATCGTCGCAAAGTACCATATTTTTCAGACTATAAGATGCACCTAGCTTTAGAGAAGCAAAACAAGAAAACAAAAGTTTTTGGCCTCCGCACCTCTCATTTTTGCCCTCCCCGGCATCCAGAAGCACTCTTCATGCCAAAAACGGGCCCATATTTGGCTTCCCAAACCCTCTGTGCGTCCCGTTCTCAGCCTGCCTGACGCCAGGGAGGACAAAAATTGAACCCGCGTAGGCCTCTGGAGACCAAAAGCGGGCCCTGCAGAGGGCTTCTGGATGTCAAGGAGGGCAATAACGGGATGCGCTGAGGGTTTGGGAGGACAAAAACAGGTCCGCTTTTTGCTCTGTAAGACACACAGACATTTCCACTCACTGTTTTGGAGGGGAAAAGTGCATTTTATAGTCTGAAAAATAAGGTAAATCCCTGCAAGATGGGGTGGGGGAATAGGTAGGGCGAATATTGTAGCACCACTACTGTCATTCATAAGTGTGAATGATGACCGTGGAGCTGCAACATTCATAAATTTTGCGACTGGGTCTCAATACTTGGAGGAGAAATGGTTGTAAGTTGGAACGTTCGCTAAGTGAACTGTGGTAACTTGAGGATTACTTGTACCCTACGATGCTCTGAGTCACACTTCATGAGGCCTTTGTTCTTGAATTGGATTGGGAGAGTGATCTTCCATGGCCTGAGCATGAGAGGTTCTGTTCTCACATAATTTAGGGAAGCTCCAGAAGACAAATGACAACACACTCCCCTCACACGACCTCCAGAGGACACATAAAAGCACACCTTGTTCTTTTCAGCCTCCACAGATAAGTTCAAATAGAAATGGAAAAATACAGATAAGAAATGGCACAGAAAGTAACTAAACAAAGAGACATTGACTCTTTTCTTCCTTGGAGCACCACAAGGCCAGATCCTTTCCTTCTCCCTCCCAGGAGACAATATCTGATCAGTGATATTTTAATAAAAAACTAACTATAATCTCTCTTCTTGATTGGGGACTAGAAAACTCTTACCCAGAGAGACCACGTTCCTATGGTTTTCAAACATGACTTCCAAATGCAGTACTTTCTGGTCAGGATCCAGCTGAGACCATTCCTCCTCAGAGAAATACACAGCCACCTCCTCAAAGGACACAAGACCCTCCTGGACATGGAAAAAAGAACAGAACAGGAGGATTAGCAAGATCTTTTAATGTTCATCATTCATTTAGACAAGAGGATAGAAGGAAAACTCATCAAATTTGCAGACTAGATCAAATTGACAGGAATACCAACACTCCAGAAGATAAGCTTGAGATATAGAGGGATCAACAGATTGGGCCCCATTTAACAAAACAAAATCAACAGTAAGAAATGTAAGGTTCTACATTTAGGAAAAAAAAAACAAATGCAATGGCATAGAATAGGCGATACTTGGTTAGTAGTCCTAGTAGACAACCATTTAAACCTGAGTCAGCACTATGCTACAGTTGCCCCCCCCCCCAAAAAAAAACAACCCAAAAGAATCATAGGCTGCAGTAAGAAGGATGGAATCAAGATGACATGAAGTGTTAGTACTACTTTATAAGGCCTTGGTAAGACCCCACTTGGAATATTGCACCCAGTTTTGGTTGCCAGATGCAAGAAAAGATCTTGAGACTCTAGAAGGAGTGCAGAGAAGAGCAACAAAAAGTATCAGTGGACTGGAGGCTAAAAAAATATAAAGATTGGTTGCTGGAATTGGGGATGTCTTGTTTCATGAAAAGAAGGACTAGGGGAGACAGGATAGTGTCGGGCTTCATTGATCGTGCCCGACACATTGCCAGCCACCTAATTGAAAGTAGGAGATAAGTCTCCGAATCTGCGCCTCCTATTCAACTAGCTGTTCCCCTCCCTGAAACAACACGGGACTGTTGGCTGTTCCAGTTACAGAGCGTTAACGAGATGGATCCATTGCAAGTTCCTGCCGAACTGTCTTTAACTGCAGAGCGTAAGGATTGTATTACGTTCCAGTGATGGGGGGAGCTCATCTTATTGTGGTTTCCTTTTCTTTGGCTTATGAGTTAGCACTTGGGGGTTAGGTGTGTTCTGGGCATCGGATATAGATGCGATTAGGATTGCGGGGCGGCGGTGCATGGGGTTAATTGGTTAGGCGGATGCTAGTTTGGGAATGGGAAGGGGATGGGGCATAAAAGGCACTGGGAGGCATTCACTCTCAGCGCTGGCTTTGCTCGGGATTGCTGTTGTTTGCCCACTGGAAAGAAACAATCTACAATAAACCACTTTTCAACAAACCTGTGAGTAAATGTGTTTGTTGACTGAGTTTCCAGATTTCCGAAATAGGGCTAACAGATAGCAGAGTTCCAAGAAGCAATGGATGGAAACTATTCAAAGAGAGAACCAACCCACAAGTAAAGAGACATTTCCTGACAGTGAAAACAATTAATCAGTGGAATGACTTGCCTCCAAAAATTGTGGGTGCTCCAACATGGGAGGTGTTTATGAAGAAACTGGACAGCGATTTCTCTGAAATGTGATAGGGTTTCCTGTCTTAGCAGGGGGTTGGACTAGAAGACCTCCAAGATCCCTAATGTTATTATGTTACATTTTCCCAAATCAGAGATATGCACTAAGTTAAATGGATGTGGGTCACACAAGGTGAGAAAATGGGCAAATCTGAAAACTGATTTCAGTGAAGAAATATCTGGGGAAGTTGTTAGTGTTTGGGGACAAACCCCCAAGCAGAGTGCACAGCAGCAGTCAAGCCA